GATATTGATTATTGTTGTTATTACTTTTTCTTGGGGTTTTCTTGGCAAGATCCCCACAGGGGTTTTGCCATGGCTTTTCTGAGGCTGAGAGAGTGTGCATGCATATTTTTTTAATTTTTAATTTTTTAAAAAAATATGTTTGTATTTATTTATTTATTTATTTATTTATGGTGCTTTGGCCCCCCCAAGTACAGCAACCTGGCCCCCGGCTCAAAAAGGGACAGCAACCTGGCCCCCGACTCAAAAAGGTTTCCTACCCCTGCTAAGAGCATTTTTAGGAGACAGAAATTCTCTAGGTACCACTTCTTTCCACAAAGAGGGCAGACGTTAACACTACACTTTTCACTACTGAAGGGCAAAATGAATACTCTATAGAAGAGTTGGGAAGAAGTTGGCAAGTTGGGTCTCAAAGGAATCAAACCATTCATAGGCTCATAAAGATGGGTGAAAGTTGATCCTGGACAACCATATAACCCAACCCTCCTCACTTAATATTAAAAACAGGATTCTTAGAACATAAAACCACCACCAGGCTAAAAACAAAGCAAAACAACACGATTAAACCCCTCACATCCAAACAAAGGCTGTGGTTGCCAGAAACAAAAACACAGCACAAGAACACACACACACACACACACACACACACACACACACACACACACCACAGACACATACTACTCCATGCCACCCTGGAAGGCATGAAAAGAACCCAATGGGTGGAGGACAACTAGTCTGGGTCCTCTAATGCCATCATGTCACAAATCTGGAACTTCACAACATCTGCCAAGGAGCAGGAGGATTTAATCATAATGACAGCGGGCGGGAACAGAGCTGTCCTGGTTCCTCCTCGGCAAAGAAACTCTGCACATGCTCTAACGAACAACGCAGTCATGGAAAAGCTCAGGGAAACGACCCTCAATACTCGGGCAGCATCCTCTCGCTCTAAAGATTATCTTAAATCTCGGCAATCCGGGTTGCAAAATTGACTGGGAAGACTGGGACCATTAAACCGAAGTCTTCCCTTGCACTCAACGCTTTCTTGAAGCGGACTCTGCCGCTGAACTCTCCTCCTCTCCCTCCCGGGTCCCGATCCCCAGACTCTTACCGTGACTCGGCCTCGGCGGCTTCAGGGCTCCGATGAGCTGCAACCGGCCGGAGAAACCCTGGAGAAGTAAAAGCACCGCCGCCGCCGCGAGGTGGGCTCCCCAGGGCCGGTCCATGGCGCCTCCGGGGGGCTCCTGCCCTGGCTTTGGTCGGGATCGGTCTCTCTGGGATCCCTGGGGTCCGCTTTGGGGGATCGAAGCCGGAGATCCTGACCCACCCCTTCCTTCCCCTCCTTCAAACCTCCGAGGAGAGGAAAGTCACTTTCCTGGGATTCCCTCCAATCCGCTCCGATTTCATGGAGCTCAAAGGAGGAGGTTTCTCTCTTGTGTCCAAGAGGCGATTTGAGTCCAAAACAAGATCTCAAAGGGTTTTTTTTGGGAGGAAGAAGGATGGATGCCGGTGAAGAAGCCAAATGGGAGCAAAGGAGAGCCGGGGGACTCTTCCCAAACAGAGAGAAAGAGAGAAAGAGTTGGAAAACAGGAGGAAGGAGAGATTCTTCCTTTCTTGGCTTCTCCTGATCGGGACTCCAGGCGAGCAAGAAAGCAAGAGGAGAAGAAAAAGGAGAAGATGAAGAAGAAGAAGAAGAAGGGAGTCCGATGCGGAGAGAAAGAGGCGCTCTTTCCCTTCTTCCAACCGAACCAGACGGCGGGGAGTGGTACCCGTGTCTTTTCCCTCGCTTGCTGCGTCGCGATCCCGCGTGGAGAAAGAAAGGCACCGGGGAGGTTTTTGCGCGCGGCGGCTCCACAGACGCGCTCCTGCGCCCTGGCTTCCCTTCTTTGCGCCAAGA